GTACAGTACTTAAGTACAATTTTGAGGGATCTGTACTTTACTCGAGTATCATTTTTGGGGAGTACTCGTGACTTTACTCAAGTACATTTGAGAGGCAAATATTGTACTCTTTACTCCAATACATTTCTATCCATAACCGTGAGTACCCGAGTAAAAAAAAAAAAAAAAGTAAAGAAAAATCTCGGAAACCCTCAATTTGTTGTTTCCCTCTCAAACGTGATTGGATTGTGCAGGCGCCACTGATTGGGACAGCCTATCAGCAATCACTTTCAGCTTTCCGCCAAAGTCAACTCCATGGTCAGATTTTATATTACACATTAATGTAAGCCAAGCATTTGGTTTGATGTTCTTGAGTATGTGGTGTGTTTAACACAGTCAGGTTCAAATGTGGCAGTGGCGTAGCCACGAGGGATTTCTGATTTCTTAAAAAAAAAACTTTAGGAGGCAAAATATATTTTAACTGATTATGTGAATTACACTGCGCAAACCAAAGTAGGCTACTACCCAGCGAATGACGAAGGGTTGGCGCTCAGTCTCCACAGTACATAAAATATTAATTTTGTTTTATTTTATTTTTCGGGTTTGCATTTATGAGTAAAAAACAATGTTATGGACGTGTTCTCCGCTACGGACGTGAGCGCTCTGAAAGCGGCATAAAAAATGCTTTAAAACTTTCACAGAGACATCAAACAGAAAACACAAAACCTTTCTTTAACCTGAAATTCGTTTTGCATTAATTGTATCTTAATTTGAATCAATGTTTCATCAACCAATTGCCTGGGTTTAATAAATAAGAAGTAAATAGCAGACGATAGATAAGAAACGGAGGCGCCGGCGCGTGAACTGGAGCTCGTCTCATAAATGAACCGAAACACAGTGTATAAGGTAGCCTACTTGCCTCACGTCTACTTTTAAACAGAAAAATTCAAAACGAAAGAAAACAGACTACAGACTGCTCTCTGCTTATGTAATCCGTATGAAATGTGCATTTCTCTCTGGCGCGTTCACTACTGAAGGTCGCGAGTCAGCATCGTCAACTTCATCTAGCCGACACTGACAAAGAAAACACTTGTTTATTAACAAGTGTTCATTAATAAACAATTAAAATATCTCCTTGCTATATTTTACATATTCATAATCATTCCTTTTGCCGGTTCTTTGTGACAGCTTTTAGGTGCTTTATTGGCAGCGCCACCCTTACATGTGGTGGTGTGTGTGTGTGTGTGTGTGTGTGTGTGTGTGTGTGTGTGTGTGTGTGTGTGTGTGTGTGTGTGTGTGTGTGTGTGTGTGTTGTCCCCGCATTTAAAGATGGGACCCCCCAAAATTTAATTTAATTAAATAAAGCAACATGGTAAAAAGATGAAAATGACTTGATTTTACTTTCAATTCCTTTTACATTCTCCAAGGTATTAACATTAACCTTTTTCATAACTCCATGTAGGACGTTTCTGTAAGCACTGTGGCAGTAGATTATGCAATATTTAGAAAATCTACTCTTGTACTCTTGATACTCAAGTACTTTTAAAAACAAGTACTTTAGTATTTTTACTTAAGTAGACATCTGAATGTAGTACTTTTACTTGTACTTGAGTAAAATTTAGCAAGGGGTATCTGTACTTTTACTATAGTAACAAAGCTCTGTACTCTGTCCGCCTCTGGTCAGGATGCATGCAGAGAATGAAACTACCGTGGGCGAAGTTACTGAACGTGACCACTGATGGCTGTCCAAACCTCACCGGGAAGAACACTGGGCTATTGCATAGGATACAGGACAGGGTGAGAGAGGATGACCCAAACTCAACTCTGATTTTCTTGCACTGCATCATTCATCAGGAGGCCTTGTCTAAGTCGGTGTTAAAGCTTGATCACGTCACCAAAACTGTGGTGAAACTTGTCAATTTCATCAGGGCCCGGGCGCTGAACCACCGCCAGTTTATCCAGTTGTTGGAGGAGAGTGAGGCAGAACACACTGATGTCCCATACCACTCAAACGTCCGCTGGCTGAGCCTGGGCACAGTGCTGCGCCGTGTGTGGGACCTGAGAAGTCAGATAGGGGTGTTTCTGGAGAATGTCGGGAAGGCTGGTGACTTTCCAGAACTTGAAGATTCCGATTGGATGCTTGACTTTGCCTTTGCTGTGGATTTAATGGGCCATTTGAATGACCTCAATCAGAAGCTACAGGGGAAGGATGTGTTCGTGCACGAACTGTATTCCTACGTGCGAGCATTCAGGGCAAAGCTGACTCTGTTTTCCCGACAAATGACAAACAAGAGCTTTACACATTTCCCAACTCTTGCCACAATGAAGGATGTGCCATCCCGACTCACTGTCAAATACACCACCACACTCGAGGATCTGCACACTGAATTCAACAGGCGTTTCTCTGATTTCGGAAAAATAGAAAAAGAGATGGAGCTGGTGTCCGCCCCTTTTTCCTTTGACAGCGACCAAGCGCCTCCGGAGGCTCAGCTTGAGTTGATTGACATGCAGTGCGATCCCACTCTCAAGGAGAAATTCACCTCGTCATCATTGGACAGGTTTTACGGTGCATTGAACGAGGCCAAGTTTCCTAACATGCGGAGGCATGCGCAAAGGATGCTAGTTTTATTCGGGTCCACGTATGTATGCGAGCAGACTTTCTCTATAATGAACTTTAACAAGTCACGCAACAGATCACGACTAACCGACGCACACCTGTCGTCCGTGTTGCACATCTCAACGTCGAACACGACCCCAGATTTCGATGTATTAGTTAAGAAAGGCGACCGCCTCAATTGTTCACATTGAGTTACAGAACACCGACAAAAAGCTCTTCATCTCAGTTGCATAGGATGAAACACATTTTCTAAAGTAGGTAAGCCTAGCCAAAGTTCCATTAAGTTACCCTTGATTGATGGTGTTATTTTTACAACATTGTTCAGTTTCATGTTGCCATTTCTTATGCATGCCCCGCGTAGATGGTTATGATACAGCTAAATCAAATTTTAATTTTGTGAGATGCATAGGCATATTCCATGTTGTCCTTTATATCTTTCAAGCAAACATATGTGTGAAGTTGATCTGCACTTAAATTGTGTTCTATTTTATAAAAGATTTGAACAAAATATGTGAAAAAAATTACAATAAAAATGAATAATCACAAATGAAATCAGCTGAATATGTTTTTTATTCAGTGATGAAGGTCTCTTTCTGGTGGTATATAGCCTCAATTAAATATGATAATTCCAAGCCAGATTGCCTGAAGTCTGTATATGTATGTTAATGTAACCTGCACACATATATTTGCAGTTTTGTTAATATCTTGAATAGCTACAACTGGTATGAATGACAGTTGAACAATATGCAGGGTAGTGTAGGAAATTAATCCTTGAAAGTAAATCCAGTTGTTAGACAGAGTAGGCCTAGCTGTCAATAACTGTAGAGTAGCCTTGTACATATATGATTAAATGGTACAAATTAATTCAATGCAAATAACTGTTTAATTGCAATTGTCCAAAGTGTGGCCCTCCGTTTACTTTGCCAAAGTAACTGTGGCCCTCAGACTAAAACTGTTGCCCACCCCTGTGTTAAGCGATAGTAATGACTTTAAGTCTTTACGTTCTTAGGAAAGATTTCTATTTTGAATAAATGCTGTTCTTTTTAACTTTTTATTCATCAGTGAATCATTCTTAGTTCAGGCTGCCTCACAGCACCTTGATAGGCCATTGGGGGAGTGTCTTTAGTCTTCCCACCCAGGTGTAAATCACATTAATATTCATGGCCATTCACACTCCCACGCATACAGCAGTGCTGACCAAAAACTGACGTAAGAAATTTGAATAATTATATTGTTGTTTGTGTAAGAGTGGTCAGAATGATTTTCACTTCATTTTGAAGTAAAAATTCTAGCCTACAAGAATAGTAACTCAAAAGTCTTGTGGACAACTATTCAGTATGTGTTAAATGGCCTTATTGCGGTGACATTTTTTCCCCCAAAACGTACTAACCACGCATAATATTTTTTTTCTATAAAATGCAGACATGTACATCCATTTTTCTCACATATTATTGTAGCAGAGTTTGTGCTGAATACAGCAAATGTATATGTTGGCAAATGGTATGTTTTAAGTAGCTGAAATAAGCACAAATGTCAGGGCATGTCAAAACATCTCAAGGACCCCAAAAACACCTCAGACCCCAGAGGGTTAATGCTTGCTGGAGGTCATGGGATGTTCAGTACCAGAGAACTGATACATGTTCCACCCGAAACACTGATATTGTGTCATACAGATAGACAATTAAACCAAAGATCTGCTGCAGATTTATTACATGAACTATTAATGAGCCCACCACAGTGTAGAATAAAGAATTGAAAGTGTTCAATGACCTTACAAAATATGAAAAAATGGCTAAATCAATAATATACATGATTCTATCATGAGTCCCTCCAGAAATGTGTGCATAATAGATTAGCATGATTCACATCATGAGTAAGTTGATGGAAAATGTGTTTATGACTGATCTACTGTAGCTGAATTATTTAAATAGAGAGAGTCACTTTGCATTGTCAGCACATGCTTCAGTGCTTATAAGAGTGTTTATAGTGCTGTGAGTTTAACACTTCATGACTGTTATGGCCCAGCTCAAAAGCCACAACAAATAGAGGAAACCACACTCAAGGGAATACCAAAAAAAGAATATCTATTAACAAAAGTATAGATTAACTTAACAAATAATAAATCATTTGAAAAGAGTCAACAAATGGAACTGGCAAAACATAATGCCAGTTATTCAAACAAACGGAACACAACAAAAACAAAAGGGAACGCCATGCTGGGGACAAGCAACAGAACAAACAGTCCAGCCCGCGAACAATCAGGAAGGGGCCATCTAGAGACAGTGGCCAGCTGACTCCGATCTGCGTGATGGCCTCAGCTCCACTCCACCAGGAAGTTCACCCTGCAAACACAAAGACACACCCAAACATCCTGACAGAAACTAGAAACCCATAGGCCGTCACAATGACTGACACTGTTTATCATATTAACAGACTAAAATTACATTCATCATCTTCTTCTTGATCTTAGGAATGTATTTTCAGGGTAAGACCTTATAATCAAAAAAAATAATTAGCTTACTTGTAATATTCAATCTTAGTTTCAATGTCTTTTCACTGTTCATTAGATTCTACAGGACAGGTGACAGTAATTCAGACTCCCGCAGTGAAACATGTTCAGAACGGACACACAGTCACTCTGAACTGTAAAAGCAGCAGCTCCACTGGACGTCAGTCAGACGGTGACTGTAAGTCTTGTGTGTCCTGGTTCCTTCAGAAACCTGGAGAAGCTCCTAAACTTTTAGTGCACAGCATCAGAACGCTTGCTGCCCGTACTCCATCTAGATTCAGTGGAAATGGAGCCGATTATGGAATTGATTTTACTCTGACCATCAGTGGAGTCCAGACTGAAGATACAGGAGATTATTACTGTCAGAGTAGACACTATATCAACAGTAAAGATGTGTTCACACAGTGATAAAGAGTAGTACAAAAACCTCTGTCAGTCAGACGTCACAGTGACTGCACTGATACAGCTTAGAGAAACTGCAGCTGCTCATACAACACAATCACACACACACTGATCACAGCACACACACTAATAATAACACTATATCATTCAAATCAACATCAATCTTGTATTTATGAAGAGAATGAGTCAATGTTTCAATATGATCATCATATTTTATGTGTAATATATGATCCCTGTCAACCAAACTGGACACACTGCAAGGATTCTTGATTCATGATCATGTTTTATTAATATTTTTTATATATTACATTTCACAACCTTCTTTAAATGTAAATGTGCAGCAGAAGTGAAACTGTTGTGTTCCAGTCCAGATCATGTAACCAATCAGAGAGTGAGACTGAAAAGCCCATTTGCATTGTCAGGGTGGAGTGATTGTGATCTCTCAGAATAGAGCAGCTCTGTCTCCAGAGACCATGTTCAAACCCCAAGAGCTTTATTTGACATTTACTGCGACATCAACCTTCTGAAAAGCTCCTGCATCTTCATCTGTTAGTTGAATGATGTTGTCAGACACAAAGTGAACTTGTTGAGAAGCTTTATTGAATGTTGCAGCAAACACAGCAGATTGACAGATCACACACACACACACACACACACACACACACACTCAAACAGGCGCACACATCTTTGTGGGGACTCTCCATAGGCGTAATGGTTTTTATACTGTACAAACTGTATATTCTGTCCCCTTACACTGCCCCTATCCCTAAACCTACCCATCACACACAACTTTCTGCATTTTTACATTTTCAAAAAACATTACTTAGTATGATTTATACGCTGTTTTCCTCATGGGGACCAAAAAAATGTCCCCACAAGGACAAGAATTTCAGATATTGCTATCCAGGGGCGTCATAGGCCCTTCTTCTGCCTAGCCCCCCTAAAAATGTGCGATTAATGTAGGCTACACAAATTCGTGTTCGCTTCCGTCTTGTTATAATCAGATTCAGCACGTTCTTCATCTTCAATCCGCAGCGGCGCCGAGCAGAGAGCACGTCAGAAACAGAGGACAGGGTGTGTGTGTGTGTGTGTGTTCATGTGTGTGTTCATCTGAGCCTCATTGGTCTGTCACTGCTTGTCAATGTCAGAATATTTGAGATGACCAATCAAATCAAAGTAGGCGGGCTTAATGTTCACAGACGCTGCTGAGCGCGAATTTTAACAGTGCGACTCGACGCGTACAGTCAAGTGCGAGATAAGATGTAAGTAGCTAAACTTAACATTTCATATTTTACTTTTTTTTAGGTCATAAATGTTAAACGAATGACAAAAAATAATCAGGCAAACTAATATAGTTTTGTCTAATTTCGCCATTTTGAACTGAAAATAGGTCTATGTAACGTGACTCATGTAATGTAATAATTAGTTTACAAGAAACATTAACAAAGCCGTTTTCATCATGTTAGGCACAAGATTAATAATGAATGTGTACATATTGAGAATATAATACAAATTGTAGCCTTTAGTAAATTAAAAAAGCTCAGCTTTAGGAGGGGAAGAGAAAGGGATGAAGAGACTGAGAAAAAAAGAAAGAGTGATGGAGATGAGGAGAGAGCAGGTATTGACAAATAATCTACTACCCACTGACATGGTTTTAAAGCTATTTCTTATCCTTTTTTTTGGTCTTCAAACGTCTTGAAATGCACATATCAGAGAAATAAAAAATTTGAACCCCCTACCAACCTCAAATTTAGGACCTCTGTGATTATAAAGCCCTGTCTACGGCCCTGTATTAGGCATAAGATCAATAATAAATGTGTAGCCTACATATTGTGAATACATTTAATAAACTTAATTACCTTTAGTAGCTTTCAGTAAATAAACGCGTCTGAGAAAATGAATCATAGGCAAAATCAACCTATCAGTTGACCCTATGTTTACTTTCTTCACTGACAGACAAAAATTAAAAGGCTATAACAGTGCAAAGTCTGCTGGGCAAGATAAAAACAAAGAGAAAAAGAGTGTGATGCTGATGAGGAGAGAAAAATAATCAGCTGCCCACTATCCAAGTTTTTTGGCCTTCAGAACATCTTAAAATGCTCATATGTAGATCAGAGAAATCTAAGTTTTCTCGGGGAGACCCCGAACCCCCCTATTTGCCCTACCTCACATTTGGGACCACAGTTGATTATAAAAGGATCGTGCCTTTGCATCGTAATGAAAATGGTTAATAGTGATCTTTAGATCCTAAACTAGTGTTACCTTTTTTATATATATTTTCAAATCATATTGGGGGCTTAGCCCCCCTAAAATGAAAATCCTAGTGACGCCCCTGTTGCCATCTTTGTGGGGACATTTTGTCCCCATAATGTAGGGTTTGCCAGACCACACACACACACTCTCTCTCTCAGTATGGAGTTGTAAAGCACTACAGCTGCAGCACTAGACTCATGTGAATCCTGCCTGACACAGGACACTCAGATACGGCTCATCTTCAGGAGAGAAACATCAGCACTCAGAGCTCTTGTGGAACGAGACCTCATGAGGAGCTCCATCATGTGTTACTCTGCAGACGTACAGCTCTCCCTCTTCCCAGCGTGCTTTGCTGAGGGTTAGGACGCTACTGCGGCTGTAGCGGCCGTCCTGCTGGCTCTCTGCGCTGGTCAGAACCCCCTCGGTGACCTCTGACCCGTCCAGTGTCCAGCTCACCAGCGCCCCCTGTGGAGAGTAAGAGCTGAGCAGGCAGAGCAGTGCGGCTGAGTCTCCAGAGATCTGCAGAGAAGAGGGCGGCAGCAGAGACACTGAGGGCTTCACTGTGGGACCAGCTGCAGGAGACAAACACAACACATTCACAAACACACACACAACACACTGCACTGCACATTCACAGCATTTCAACAGGACTGAAGCAGCAGACATGAGGAATGCAGGACAAATCTCCAGCATCTGATCCTTCATGCCATTCAGCTTCACTACAGTCAATATATATATGTGACCAGTTACGGAAACTAGGGACACAAGTCGGTCCATTTGAATGTAGGCACTTAAAATAACTAAAAGTTAAGATAACAGCCTCTAAAGATGTGCAGTTCTCACCTCTCTCTGCTGGGGGGAGTGACAATAGGGCTCATTTACATCTCATTTAGATAAGCCATACCCCCTGTAAAGCTTCCCCCTGTGCTTTACAGCTTTTTTTCTTTCCTGAGCTAGCTAATAACAATAGGTAGGTATTGGGAAGGTCTAAACAGACTAAACATGCGATAACGTGTAGCCTACGTGTTCTTAGAATGAACACAAAACGACAAACTTTAATGTTTATGGAAGCTCACCCCCAGGACCTCTAGGCAAAAAACAATTGTGCTGCCCCTCTATTTGCAACGTATACCAGCAACAACACACAAAGACCAATATGCCATACATATAACGCAAAACCAGCAACAACACACAAAGACCAATATGCCATATACATATAACGCAAAACCAGCAACAACACACAAAGACCAATAAGCCATAGGCCTACATATAACGCAAATAGTGCGCAACGCGCGTGTGCCCAAAATGTCAACAATATTAAAGTTTATGCAGGAGGCAAATGTCTGCTGGCATTTTTCTTTAAGCAGTCATGACAGGAATTTTCCAAATAATCACATTTCACTTCCTCAAATTACTGTTGCAAATCTCGGTAACACTTTACAATACGGGTGCACTAATAAGCATTAATTCATGCTTAACTAATGCACAGATAATACTGAATTAATGTGTAACTAATGATTATCTAAGCTATTCATTAATGATTACCACATTAGGAACTAATTAAGAGTCTGTATGGTTAATGTATTAGTTCATACATGAATTGTTATTAATTAAATATGTAATTGTGAATTAATTCCCTAATAACTCATTTTTTTAACTAATAGTGTTAATTAATATGTTAATTACCAGAATGAGCCAAAGTCTTGTATTTCAACTTCCAGATAATACACTAATATGCATTAATACATGATTAATTACTTCATTGTTAGTGCAAATTCATGTGTAAATTACTACAATTACTAAATGACTAGTTAATAATGATGTGCCTCAACAAGTAAAGTCATAACATAATGATACCTTTGCAAATCATTAGCTAATGATTAATTAAAGCAGACAACTGGAAGTTGAAGTGCATAGCTTTGACTAATTGTGGTAATTAACACATTAATTTACACTATTAGTTAATAAAATAGGTTATTAAGGAATTAATATACAATGACACATTGAATTAATAGCAATTCATGTATTACTTAATCTATTAATCATATAGACTCTTTATTAGTTGCTGATGCAGTAATCATTAATTAATGGTTTAGTTCTTCATGAATCATACATTTACTCATGATTATCTATGCATTAGTTAAATATGAATTAATGCATATTAGTGCACCCGTATTGTAAAGTGTTACCCAAATCTCTTTACATCACTTTCTTATGTGCATATACACACACAAATGAAATGTCCGCAAGCACATTATATCATCAGCAGGTTCAGCATCTTAAATAACGACTAGAGAGCAAATGAAGCTTAACTTACGTTTCAGAAACGAGCACAGCAGGCCTTCATCGCAGCAAAGGTCTTAACTGCATCCTCTATTTCGAATCTCTGTGCCAGTTCATGTTGTTGCCTCAAACATGGAGAGGCTTCTTCATGATCTCAACTAACAGATTCTGCAAAAAAGCGGAAATCACAAATTTTGGAAAAAAACGCTTCTTTCTCATTTTGCTCGCAAGTTGTGCTGCCGACTTGTGTCCCTGGTTTCTGTAACGGGTCACATATATACAATATACAAACTACACAATCACTATATACATTTATGGTGCGTTCACGTGCTATGGAAAATATGATATTTTCCACTTGTGAACTGGTATTTACCAGTGTGTTGCGTTCAAGTGCTTTTGTTGTCGTAATGTGGTAAAAAGATGGAGATCCAGACCTGTTATTTAGCTAAAACTATTTTAGATTGCTAAGTCATCTGCTACAGCAAGAAAATGATTTATCAAAACTCAAACGTAAATAATATATGCTGTATATTTTCTAGATCATGAATAGTACATATTTTTACCATTCACAACTCTTGCGTTGCTCTCCGCCATTTTGAAAAGGTCAAAGGTAATCTCATCTCGGCAACTCGCGCATCAAAATATTCTACGAGTTGCCCAGTGGAAAATACCACATGAGGGGGTGTTCATGTGCATTTTCCATGTCGGCTTTTGGTATTTACCATAATTACCATAGCACGTGAACGCACCATTATATCAAATGAAACTTAAGATACTAGTACACTTAATACACTTAATGCTTTAATTCTAGCAGTTTTTAACTCTGAACGTAAAGATCTTAAATTTTGAGATATTCAACTGAAAATGTAACTAAATTTTAAACAGAATTAAAACACAATTGAATCATACAGAAATTGTGCTTATATTATAAAGCACTGAATTATAAGCACAACATGAGCAAAAGAGATTCAGTATCATTGACTGAACTACAGAAAGTAGCAACATTTACATTCTGATGTCAAATCTCTTTTTACATGTATGATTTCTACAATAAAAGATGAACTAAATATGAACTCAGTGTAGAAATAAATGAAGGAAAAACAAACCTGTAATAAACTGATTAAACTCATAGTGAGACAGTGTGGGAATATGTTTAGAGTTTCTTTTTTTAAAAGGAATAATGCCGTTCTTATAACAAGACCATTGTTTTAGATTAAATAATTATACAATATCCGTAACACTTTATTTAAAGCCTTTATACATATTGCATTATAAAAGTATTTTTAATGCATTAATTAAGCAATGTTATACACATTATAATGCATGTATGATCTCATCAATAATTGTAACTGCAGTGATAACTCATTATAATATTATCTATTCAATTGTTACACCTTGTAACGGAAATAAACGTTACTTGTGGTATTATTGCATTTTAGCCAATTTACTATTGTTGATGCCTTAGTGTTATGTATTTGGAATTAAGTGTAGTTACAACAGGAGCTGCTTGAGGGCGCTATTGCCTGGAGGTAACCAGATATATAAACTCATCTACCATAGAGTAAGTCAGTTCGTTTGGTAGAGGGAAATCAAATGGGTGAACTCATGCTACCTTCTTGCTCCTCTAAAGTCCTTTGTTGAGAACTCTTTGAGTTTCTGCTCAACTAAAGGACTTTTTATTCACATGTTCTGTTGTGAACACTAATTGAAGAAAGAGACAGTAAAGTCAAATGCAGTCCCCACTGGCAACGAGGCTACAGCACATGGCCAGCAACAGGGCACGAGGAACAAACGATTCACTGACCACTGTGGTGTATGATCTTTTCTCACATTGTGGATAATTGGATTAAAACCATTGCATCGCACTCAAAATTGACCTTGTGGAGTTAATTCTCATTTCATCGTCATCATCATCATCATCATCATCATCATCGCAACGTATCAAAAGACAGGACATTCTAGAGTTAAGTTTACTTCATTGCATGGATTCAATGTTGAAGAGACAGAGATCTTGAGAGTGCTTTGTAGTTTGTTTATTGTGTGTTTGACATGTATTTAGCACAGTAGAGGTTCAATGTTAATTTGTTTGTGAAGATATTTATATTTCAGTACATGTCAAAAATGTGTTGAACCCCTCAGAGTAACATCATTAAAAGAAAGGAGGTGTTACAACCTTTAGAAATGATAAATATCAATCCATCAATTCCAGAAAACAAGGAATTTTCAAATATTATAATGCATTTTAAATTTGGTTACAATTATTTATGATATGATAAGACATTTACGTAAATTATGGAAATCTTTATAATGCATTAAACGTAAAGGCTTCAAGTAAAGTTTTGCACAATATCTAATCATTATTATAAAAAAAATGTGTTCTTGTTTCACCTGTAAAACACTTTCTGAAATCTAAATTGTATTTTTTATTAGGTGATTAAATAGACAGACTTACCGATCACCAGTTTAGTTCCTCCACCGAATGTGTACCACAGTGATACGAGTGAACACACACTCCAGCAGAGAGAGAGAAACAACACTTCAACACACTGATATTAGAAGATCCTCAGCTCTTCTCAACACTCACTCATTCAGATTTGACTAAATGCTTTCTGATATAACACTGTTTAAAGAAATATATGTGATGAGCTGTGACCTCTGAGGTGACCTTTGACCTCTTTGATCATGGATGATGTTGTGGAGTTTCTCATAATGATGCTTCTGTTCTTCATATGCAGATCAATCATCATGATTCACAGAAAAACCTGCAGCTTCACACTTCAATCTTCAGTGAGAATCTGTTCAAATAATGACTTTATTGAATATTAGAGCCAAAGTCAATAGAAAGTGTGGCAATGAAGATATAAAAGGTGTTTTGCATGTTCTACACAGTCAAGCATGTTTTCATATTCAAGGTGTGTTATAAAAGTATCTGGACTGGTTCTGAATCTCCACACAAGATCATGAAACGTGAACAAGCTCTAATATGTGTCCATCTTTAACAGCCTGTTTCTTCTCCATCTGATGATTTCAGACACACATGAGGCTTCATGATAGATGGAGTGACACCATGAACTCTGATTAGAGATTCACAATCAGTCCTGATACTTTCTGAACACACTCATGATTCATGATCTTACTTTAGTGATGGCGCTTCATCTAGTGGAAGTGTAGCAGTGATGATGGTCACATGACTGAATATGGACACAGAGATGGACGTTCATCTGCACATCCTCAGTGTCTCAGGAGTCACAATAAACATACTAAATAAAGTCATGATTGTGTAACTCTAGTGTATATGAGTTTGTTCTCAGCACAAGCTGTTGTAAATCCTGCCCACTTCTTTGCATTGTCAGCACATGCTTCAGTGCTCTGAGAGTGTTTATAGTGCTGTGAGTTTAACACTTCATGACTGAGAGCAGAACACAACACACTCTTCATCATCACACAAGACTAAACTACAACTATGAACAACATCAACTTCTTAATCTGTACTCTCTCTGTGTGCATTCAAGGTAAAAAAATGTAAGAAATTTTCACATTAAATTATTATAATATTATTAACAATGAGTGTTACAAATACATCCTGCTTTTTCTCACAGGTTTCAGTGGACAGGTGACTGTGACTCAGACTCCTTTTGTACAAATGGTTACAATTGGTGAATCAGTCACAATAAACTGCAAAACAAACACAGTAGTGAGCAATGGCTGTTATGGTTCAAATACGTGTATGGCCTGGTACTTACAGAAACCTGGAGAAGCTCCTAAACTCCTGATTCATTCTGTAAACCAAAGAGTTTCAAACACTCACTCTAGATTCAGTGGCGGTGGATCTAACTATGGCAGTGATTTTACTCTGACCATCAGTGGAGTCCAGACTGAAGATACAGGAGATTATTACTGTCAGAGTGAACACTGATCAACAGTAAAGATGTGTTCACACAGTGATAAAGAGTCGTACAAAAACCTCTGTCAGTCAGACGTCACAGTGACTGCACTGATACAGCTGAGAGAAACTGCAGCTGCTGATGGAGGATCACAAACTACACAATATCAAACCTTACACAGACTTTATTCATTTATTATGATGTAAGTAAACATGTTGTACAAAAGGCCCGGATGCCCTTAAATGTCCCGGATGATCCTGACCAATCACAGCGCACAATGTTACCATAGCGGCACCTGTGGTGAAGCGGAACTGCGTTGACCAGAGAGAAGATGCAGTGCATATGTTAGAGTTCATCAATAGTTGTTCGATTACCATTCAGTTGAAGTATATATTGAGTTGCTGTGTGCCTACATGTCAAAAGCACACGTTAACTCAACCAGCTCTTCAGTAAAGGAAAGTGAAACTTAAACCCTGCTTGGTGTGTCTCTTCAACTAAGAGTCAACTCATACAGTTCTGACCGACTGCCTGCTGTGTTTCACATACATCCAAATCAGAGGTGTAGTGGTAAAAAAAGAGGTGGGTAAACTATAAATTCTGGTGGACCACGACGTGGTCACGCGGTAAGGTGGGCCACTGCCTACCGGTGTATGTGTATCTCCTAGGGTTGCCAACTGCCAAAAAAGAAAAATGCGGGACATATTACTATATGTTGGCGATTTCGGTTTTGTTGACGGGGGTGGGGGTGGATCTCGCAGGCAAGGTCTCTCGCTCTCTCCCTCTCTCTCCGCGCTACACGGTTTGGCGCTGACGCACATACAGTAGGCTATGTTCTGTCTTGCATGCGCAGCTCTAGATTCTAGGAGATTTGAACTAATTTACGTGTCGTGTTGCTGTTGTATCAGTCAGATCAGCGTAGCACTCAATAATCGGGACAAGAGAGGTCCCGATCGGGACAAATAAATTAGGCCCAAAAATCGGGACGTCCCGGCAAAATCGGGACGTCCCGGCTAATTCGGGACAGTTGGCAACCCTAGTATCTCCTGATGACATTGCTATATAGGGAGGGCTCGACATTAAGCCCTTTCATATGTAACCGTTTCCCAAAGCCAAGGGTTAATAACCACACTCCGGAGGAGCCGACACCAAAGGCACCAATCAGGCAAGACAGCAAGTAATGTAAAAACTCTTCTTTTTATTTATTAATTAATAACACTTAAAACAGCAACGGAATGACTTTGGGTTCCTTTTCTTCACTCCCGGATGTTCCCAGCTCGTAGAATAGCTGCAGATCGAGCGCAACAGTCAGCAGCTTCTCCTTCAGAAGGATGATTCACAGGATCTCTCAGTTCACAGAACGACAGCAGATTGAACACCGTAGTTGGCAGACTCACTTCAGAAGGATGATTCACAGGATCTCTCAGTTTACAGAACGACAGCAGATTGAACACAGCAGTCAGCAGACTCACTTCAGAAGGATGATTCACAGGATCTCTCAGTTCACAGAACGACAGCAGATTGAACACCGTAGTTGGCAGACTCACTTCAGAAGGATGATTCACAGGATCTCTCAGTTTACAGAACGACAGCAGATTGAACACAGCAGTCAGCAGACTCACTTCAGAAGGATGATTCACAGGATCTCTCAGTTCACAGAATGACAGCAGATTGAACACAGAAGTCAGCAGACTCACTTCAGAAGGATGATTCACAGGATCTCTCAGTTCACAGAACGACAGCAGATTGAACACCGTAGTTGGCAGACTCACTTCAGAAGGATGATTCACAGGATCTCTCCGTTCACAGAACGACAGCAGATTGAACACAGCAGTCAGCAGCTTCTCCTTCAGAAGGATGATTCACAGGATCTCTCCGTTCACAGAACGACAGCAGATTGAACACCGTAGTTGGCAGACTCACTTCAGAAGGATGATTCACAGGATCTCTCAGTTCACAGAACGACAGCAGATTGAACACAGCAGTCAGCAGACTCAATTCAGAAGGATGATTCACAGGATCTCTCAGTTCACAGAACGACAGCAGATTGAACACAGCAGTCAGCAGACTCACTTCAGAAGGATGATTCACAGGATCTCTCAGTTCACAGAACGACAGCAGATTGAACACCGTAGTTGGCAGACTCACTTCAGAAGGATGATTCACAGGATCTCTCCGTTCACAGAACGACAGCAGATTGAACACAGCAGTCAGCAGCTTCTCCTTCAGAAGGATGATTCACAGGATCTCTCCGTTCACAGAACGACAGCAGATTGAACACCGTAGTTGGCAGACTCACTTCAGAAGGATGATTCACAGGATCTCTCAGTTCACAGAACGACAGCAGATTGAACACAGCAGTCAGCAGACTCACTTCAGAAGGATGATTCACAGGATCTCTCAGTTCACAGAACGACAGCAGATTGAACACAGCAGTCAGCAGACTCACTTCAGAAGGATGATTCACAGGATCTCTCAGAATGACAGCAGGTTGAACACAGAAGTCAGCAGACTCACTTCAGAAGGATGATTCACAGGATCTCTCAGTTCGCAGAACGACAGCAGATTGAACACAGAAGTCAGCAGACTCACTTCAGAAGGATGATTCACAGGATCTCTCAGTTCACAGAACGACAGCAGATTGAACACAGCAGTCAGCAGCTTCTCCTTCAGAAGGATGATTCACAGGATCTCTCCGTTCACAGAACGACAGCAGATTGAACACAGTAGTCGGCAGACTCACTTCAGAAGGATGATTCACAGGATCTCTCCGTTCACAGAACGACAGCAGATTGAACACAGCAGTCAGCAGCTTCTCCTTCAGAAGGATGATTCACAGGATCTCTCCGTTCACAGAACGACAGCAGATTGAACACCGTAGTTGGCAGACTCACTTCAGAAGGATGATTCACAGGATCTCTCAGTTCACAGAACGACAGCAGATTGAACACAGCAGTCAGCAGACTCACTTCAGAAGGATGATTCACAGGATCTCTCAGTTCACAGAACGACAGCAGATTGAACACAGCAGTCAGCAGACTCACTTCAGAAGGATGATTCACAGGATCTCTCCTTGATAACAGCATAGATCCTCAGCACGGCCCTTAATCACTCTGTCCTCTCCGTCCCATGTGTCAATCACTCACCCGTCTTCAATGCACAAACATCCCCACACTTTATATTCGCTGCGGTTGCTGCTTTCTGTTGTCTGCTGACAAGAACGCCAAGGGGAACCCAACGTGAAAACCAAGCACCAAGAACCAACACACCATGTCTTCAAACTTCTCCTCATATATCCCTCTTCCCGCATGTGCTCGCCGATAACGGCCTGATTGGTGTCCGCAGCTGGCGCTCGTCAATGCCGGCGGCCATGACATGTCACCGGAACCGGCCCGGTGTTACACCGGAAGTCGCTCCCCCGTGCAACAAATCCCGGTTCTAAAGTTCCTATTTCTCACCCGGTGACACATACGCTTAATCTGTCATTCACTTGTCCGAGTAAAAAAGTTTCTCGTCCGGATTTTTTTTTTTTTTTTTAATTTATTCTGAAACAATATTCTCATCAGTGTTCAATCAGCTTTGATATTTAAATCGGCATATTGTAATATCTGCACCTTTAAAGGGCATCCCCTCCCCCAATCTTATTAAATGTATGCTTTATCTTTCATTTTAAATTCCTAAATTTGATCAATAAATTCAATTATTTCGAATAGGCCTAATAAGACACTATAGGGCTGATCAAATTAAATCATTTACACTGAAAAATTACAATTGCATAAAATAATGTTATGAAATTGATTTAAATTTACAAATAAGAAACGTTGGAAAGAATGATCTACTTTTAAACATAACACGAAACCGCCAGTAGGTGGCGGCAGGCGGCCGTATTAATGAGTGAGTCATTGATTCATTAATTCAAACGATTTGTTCAAACGGCTGATTCATTCAAGAATGAGACAGATGTTTATGAATGGGTCATTGAAACTTTGACTCAATCGATTCGTTCAAAATGCTGAATCATTCAGTAATGAAAACAGGTCGAGTGTTCCTGTGAGATGCGCCGTGGTTCTGCTGTGATTTTTGTTTGGAACTATTTTCGCTGCTGAAACAGAACAAAAACAGCCAATATTGCATCTAAAATGTAAGTGACTTAATTTTAACTGTTTATTGAACTTTTGTAGGAAATCGATGTCACATTTTCAATCGTGATGGTGTTCAGGAAAAACGATTGAGGTTGCTTAACATATGGTAAAAATATAAAAACTCCACATTTAGATTTTTTATAGGCAGTATGTTGTTAACTGAGTGTGTGTGTGCGCTCATTTGTGTAGATTTCTCCTCGAGAGGCTGCGCGAGCGTCAACAGCGCAACCGTCAGTAAAAGTCAACAACACTGACAGTAATGCAGCGCAATATGAAAGAGTTCGTCTTAGGTTTAACAACCTATGAAACTAATAATGAACAATATGAAACTAAAACGACATAAGCTTAATTTATAGCTATTTAGAGGTAGGGCTGGGTATCGATTCAGATGTTCAAATTCGATTCGATTTCGATTCACAAGCTCACAGTTCGATTCGATTTCGATTCTTGATTCGAATTTCGATTCCTGATTCGATTCTCGATTCGACTATAATGAATATAGATGTAATACAAATCTCAGTCTAAATATCAGTTATCATTTTTTAGACATTTTTTTATTACATTGATCTCACCTACACCTAAATGTTTTTACAATGGGGTAATTTTTTTGTTAAGAGTTTATGCAACACATGGAAGCTTGATTTCAATCTTTGAATTAAATTGAAAAAAGTAGCACAAATAAATACAATAGAATAGGTCTAAAGACACAAATAAAGAGACATAAAAAGAAAAGTTTTGGGGTAGGTCAGAAATACTACAGAAACTGAATAGGCAAGGCAAGGCAAGTTTATTTATATAGCACATTTCATACACAATGGTAATTCAAAGTGCTTTACATAGAAGAAATTAAAATAATCAAAACAAATAAGAATAATTAAAACAGTTTAGAATAAAAAATAAAGTACAGTAA